TTGTGTATATGCTTTTTGATGAATTATGAAGTATTTTGGTCAGTTCAAGGCGTACACCATTCTCGAAGCCTGTGCATGTGTCTGTTTGTGCGTGTTTATGTGTCTTTAAATGTTCGTAGTGATGGCACAAATTAATTAGAACAGTACATAACGTATGTTCTTTGTCATCAAGGTTTTATGACCATTCTTAAAAACTCTTTACCACACGTTTTTGCTCGAAATTAAGGCGAATCTCTCAAACACACATTTTATTCACATATGCTTAATACCTGCTTGTATTATAGCCGTATATGTCTGGAGATGTTCCCCATGGACTAGCCGGTTTGCCCCTAGACTTGCATTTCCATGGTTCGAATCTGACTGAAGATGCTGATGGGAAGATGAAACGATGCGATAATGACGGGATTTCATTCCATCAAGGAGGGACCGGCCTTTGACGTATCATTTTTTAGTGAATCTTAGAACATAATCAAGACGAGCTTTAACCTTTCAACTCTATAATAAATAGACTTTATTAAACCGGTGCAACTTTATACAAAGAATGGAATTTTGGATGTCAAATATTAATAATAGTCTGTAAAAGATTTGCTAATTTTTACTGTTCTCGAGCACTATCCTACGAATGACGTGAGCCTTCCAAAAGTAGAACTCGCTATCTCCAAAATCGTAATGACTTTCCTGAACTCATTAAAAGGTCATCAGAAAAGGCAGCAACACTTATATTTTGTGGATACGAAAAGAAACTGGGTTTCAATCAATCTCCCGAGATGACCTTGTTGGAGACACTTTTATTTCGTATGCAAGTGCATGAACAAGAGATTCGTAGGTCAATCTCACCAGATGAGGACGGTTGCAGTACAACGCGATTGAGCCGTCCTTTTATGGTGAGATTGACTTACGAACCCCTGCTTCATGCCCTTTCATACGAAATGAAAGTCCCCCCAACAAACTTATATTTTGAAGATATGAAGACCAAGATATTGTCGCTTCTGGTATGGACGCAGTCTCCTTTCGCTTTATAAAAGTGGGTTGACCTCGTTGTCGCAACTTGATCTCGTTGTCAGGGAGACTTAATAGAACGCATCTAGTCCGAAGTCGTATGCCATAGAAGTTGTCATGATTCTCAGCATCAGACAGTGAGCTTGGTACATTCTCAAACGACTATGATACCGGCGAAACACCGTCCATACCTTCGATTAAATTATGAATATTTGGTTGTGCCCTATCTCACAGCCCACAACCTTAGTCTGGCAGGGCTACCGATCCGTTCCAGCGTTCCAGAAAGATAAGGAACGGATCTACGAGACAAGGAAAGGATTCGGATTGGAGGCCCGAGTTGGATAAGCTCATCGAAAGAGAG